TAGGGATGGTAAATATCCTGTATTAGGGATAAACACTATGTATTCCTAATGCAGGATATTTACCATCCCCAAACACACTTGCGTGATAACCTCTATATATCTTCATTTGTATAAGCTATATAAACAAGTGATTTTTTCAGGTGCAAAAGCATTAAATATACAAAAACAGTCCAGATATCTGTGCTTGTCAAAAATACTTTATGCACACAAGATCTTTCGCCGCTCAACAGCTCTTCAGTTTAGGGAAAACGTAAACGTAGTCATAGGCGACGCACAGCAGCAGTATCTGTGGCGTCATAATGCCTATGACGTCACAGTTATACTCAAGAGTAACTTATACGAAGCTCTAAACAGCCTAAATTCTCATCCAAATGCTTACAAAAGTACCATCAGTGTAACAAAATGTCAGACCCGTGAAGTTCAGGGGTAGAATAGATCTTCAGCAACCCATGCTTGTCGTAAAAGGCGACTAACGGGATCGGGTGGTCAGGCTCGCTGACTTGGTTGATGCATGTCATCGATTCCAATTGCGTGGATCGATGCTCATGATATTAATCACTGGATTGTCTGGTCCAGACTCGATTATTTACCGACCTCCGTCATAGAGTTGGAATATTGCTGAGTGCGGCGTTAAACAACAAACAAACCAACCAGCCAACCAACAACATGTCTCACAACCCGATGTGAAAATTGCCCAATAATAATTGAAGACTGAAAATTTCAATTTTGCGAAGATACATGTAAATTATTTACAGTCAAAAACAACATGAACTGCCGCAGTAAAGGTGTTATATATGTTTTAACATGTGCGGGATGTGGTGAGCATTATATTGGACAAACTGGTATGTACACAGACAGCTTTTCGTGATCCAAATGCACGTTGTATAAATGTAAGCAAACAATTTGATGAATGCGGGAGTGGCAATTTTACTGTCCTTCCGTTTTATGAATCGTTTAACAATCTCAAACATTTCCAAATGGAAAAAAGAATAGATGTATTTGAAACCTAAACTTAATTCAAAAGTATAATTTTCAAAACCTCCCCATGAAGCTCAATGTGTATGTGTGCACTCACACCATAATGTATTTACACATCCCTCTATTGTCACTAACTGTTATGTCATAGATATTATTACGCCACGAACACTGCTGTTGCGCGTCGCACATGACAACGTTAAAGTTTTACACCTAAAGGGCCGTTGAGCGGCAAGAGATCGTGTCTGCATGAAGGAGTTTTGACAAGCTGGAATCATATATATTGTTCAAAGGGAACTTAAACATTATTACTCCTGTCCCCTCCCTCCTCAAATCGACAGCGCTTATGTTACACAGTCGTGTTGTCAGAAGATCTTCACAGATTTTCAGTGGTCCATTCATATAATTATCACAACTAGTTTGCCCTGTACGCCAAATGGAATCAGTTTCAGTGAACTTGTTATATTATTCGCTGGCATTGACAATTTATATTTACTTAAACTTTATTTAAACGGGGTTGATGTTTCTGCTAGTGGACTGAAGTTCCCGCGTTTCATCATAAGATCAGTAGCATTTACCTGTGCTACAAGTGCAAAAGGAACATACTTATTAAAAGTGTTTCTTTACTTATAAGCAGCAGGATCTCTGCACTTGTACACTGCAGATGTATTTTCTGGTTCACCCATCACTGGATTGTCTGGTTTGTTTACAGGTCGCCGTTGCATGGCAGGAGTACTGTTGTTCGACTTCAGGCAATACATACTTCCTTTTTCATGCAAATTGGGGGGCACGGGGGCCAAGTCGTCTAAGGCGTCGCGATTCGCTGTGCAGAGTTGCGTCCCTTGGGCACGCCAGAAACCTATCGTTGTGGATTCGAATCCCGGTTGGCCACGACTATGTTTCTAGGTTTGTCAGCACCATATCCGTGCTCGTGGGTTTCACCGAGTGGTAAACGTCTGAGACCTGCAACACATCGGGCTTTCCTCCCACATTAAGCTGACACGCCGTGATTTAACTGGAATAATGTTAAAAGCGGCGTTAAACCCAACTGACTCATTCATGCAAATTGAGCGAATGGCGGGTTATACCGGTAGAGCAGGTCATGCTTATCCTTTGTTGGTATACACGCCTTCTTCTATGCAATGTCGCATGAATAAAATAAATAAATTAATATTTAGTCTTTTTAAGACAGAAGCGATTGTCTTTTTCTTTTATATGTGACGTTGTTGAAGCGGTTTACCAAATTAAAACTATTCACCTGTTAGATGACTATAAGTAACAATGAACACATTACTTTCAGCTGTGGGTGGTGAGAGCTTCTACCAGCTTGCCTTTTCAGCAGGCATTAGGCGCGATGTTACTTTTGCTCAAGGACGAGTCATTGTCTACGATCAGATCCTCCTCAACACTGGAAACATCTACAACAGGACCATGGGCATATTTTATTGTCCCCAGAGTGGAGTGTATGCATTTCATTTCCATGTCATTTCTCAAAATGGTAAAGAGGCATACCTGCAGCTTCATCACAACCACAACAAAGTGGCGAGCGCCTATTGTCAACCACCTGGTCACACGGCTTCTGGGAACTCCGCTATCCTTCATCTGAAGACTGGCGACCAGGTGTGGGTGGAAGCAGCAAGGACTGCATATTTGCATGGGACTGCAGCCAACAGTTACACTACATTTTCTGGTTACCTCATCTCCCCTTCGTTCGATGTAAAACGTTAGTAGTCCAAGATGATGTTACAACATGTGCTCATTGTGTCCGAAATGTAGAAAGTGTATCACACAGAGCACACAACCATGTAAAGATCTTGAATCAGAGATACAATAAAGCATGATATGTGTGCGGCGTATGTTATTGCTAAGGTCTTCGGCCCGTGAAGATCCGGGGTAGAATAGGTCTTAAGCAACCCATGCTTGCCGTAAAAGGCGACTAACGGGATCGGGTGGTCAGGCTCGCTGACTTGGTTGATGCCTGTCATCGATCCCAATTGCGAAGATCGATGCTCATGTTATCAATCACTGGATTGTCTGGTCCAGACTCGATTATTTACAGACAGCTGTCATATACCTGGAATATTGCTGAGTGCGGCGTTAAACAACAAACAAACAAAGCTAAGGTCGTCAATGGCGAACGGAACACGACAGGGCCCCAGTGAGTAAGTTGGGTTTAACGCCGCTTTGAACAGTATTCCAGTTATATCAAGGCGTGTCAGCTTATTGTCAAAGGAATACCCGGAGTGATGCAGGTCTCCGACGATTACCACTTTGGTGAAATCCAGGAGCACGGGTGTGATGCTAAAAAACCTAGAAACAAAATAGGGACGAACCGTGATGCGAAGCCAAAATCATACGTTTGTGGCGTGCCAAAGGGATGCCACATTACACGGCGAGTTGCGGCACCTTAGACGACTGAGCCACCAGTGCCATCGACTGAGAGGAACAAATGTAGATAAACTCAATATACCATTAGGTTTATGTAAAGAATGTAAAAATTCTTATGTGAAAAAAGTGACGATGGGCGGGCTGATCGACGCCACCAATTTAGCGTGTTAGCGGTACAAATTTCAACAGGAATTTTCGCTCGGAATTGAAAAACACCATATTTACAGTTTTAGAAAATGCTAGCTCCCAAAGCATGCAAAGTAGGGCTTCGATTTTTGTTGTTTAACGCCGCACTCAGCAATAAACAACAAACAAACAAATCATACAAAATGGCAGCCTTCAGTGAATTCAATCTGATCGATAATCAAGATATATATTGTAATAAAACGGGTCTGAAGCAAATGCATGTGATATGCGAGATGGAATTTGATTGGTCATAGAAGGGACATAGAAGAGACATAACCTGACATCATTTAATTTGAAAGTATACACAGTAACAAAAATTTAGCAACACCCAAATCTTGAGCATATACATATTACATAGTCTGTATGATGAGGAATGACATTACAAGACATGTCACCATGACCTATACACGGGTGTAAGGCGTCATTCCAGTTTTAAATTAAAGATAAGACATCTTCAGAAAGACCATGAAGTCAAATAACCTCCAGTACACCTTGAATCTTGAAATTATAAAAGAGAGATGCTGTAGGATTGCCCTTGTTAACATCATAGCATGATAAGTAAGAATATCGTCCTATAAATGTTTGCCTTTAATATACTAGTTCTTTCTCATGGAACTATTTTTGTACAAGAATACCTCCTGAGAGATGTACGCGATCTGAGGGTTCGCATACTATTGAAAACGCTTATGTGTGTGCGTGCGTGCGTGCGTGCGTGCGTGCGTGCGTGCGTGCGTGCGTCTGTTTATGCTAGACCGAGCTAATGCCAGTTTTATAGTACTCGCCCACTGAGATACCACTCCCCAGTTCAACATGGATACCCCACTCATAGACCGTATGATTATTCTCAAGCGACCAGTGTGTGTGTGTGTGTGTGTGTCACATTCACACTGATGTGTCCTGGGTTTTCGGAATGACCTATTTGTCCTTGTCACATAAACTGGGATGCACACACTTTTTGCAGTGAACTATGCACACACGCTGACGTCAAAACGTACAACATAATAGAGAGAGCGAGAGAGAGAGAGCGTCAGTTATGTTCCAGGTGGAAACTGGTCTTTTATAGTCAGTTAACGCCCTTGCATCGGGAAGATGGTTATGGATGGGAGTTGGAGTGGAATTAGAACATTGGGCGAGAGGGCGATGAGTTGGAGAAGATTGAGTGGGAGTGGTGGGTGGCAATTGGGGAAGTGCGGATGGGTGGTAGATATAGAGTAAAACCAAAAGTAAATATATTCATTTCATTTCTGTAGGAAGGATAACCATACCAGAGTAACAAATAGATACAAAAACGTATTTCAACATATAACTAAAATATGATGAGGTCAGAAAACGATTATTGTCTCCTGATTTCTAAATATGTGAATATTCCCCTCTTTTGTTTTGTTCATTGGTGTCAACTAATATTCACCAAATAGAGAGGTCAACTAATTTTCACCAAATATGGAAGTCAACTAATATTCACCAAATATGGAAGTCAACAAATATTCACAAAATATGGAAGTCAAGTTCTCGACATAAGTTGATGTCAACATCTGGACATCCATATACACAAACGTGTATAAAAAAAGAACAACAATAATGACAGCTCCTCTGTACGTCTTGAGTCTGGTGTCAGATGGTGGGTGAGGCTGAAGAGGAGGTTGGTTAGACCGACTTCCGTCAGGCAGGATACGGCAGTCTTCCGATACCGTCTTGGCATCATACTGGAAGTAAGGACCTGGAGAAAAGAAATATATCAAGCACCTAATAAATTCCAAGATGATAGATTTAGATTTAGAACTTATATATTTTCATGGAAATAAAAGTGACAATACCCTTTCCATATTAATAAGAAATCCCTAACAAAATCGAGTGTACGATTCCGAATATATTATGTTCATGTGTTTCTGAATTACTATCAAATAGTGACGTACCAGGTGCTCGAGAAACGGAGAGCGTATCCTGCTCCACCGGTGGTACCGAAATGTCCTCCACGTATCTACTATAAAGCTTTTTAAAAGTTTTACTGAGGCCTTGAATTGTGCAACCTTATTCAAACAACTGAGCAAGAGTTGATGCTCTTTGAAATCTAGGTAGAAAGAGCTTGCTCGATTGTACCTCAAAAGTTGTTAAATGTAGATACCAAGGGATGAAGCTGCAGAACTATTGCTCGACATATTGGGACAGTTGACTTTTGGAAAGTTAAAGTCATCCCTCGGGTCATATGTCTTGTTGAGAGTATTTTACCACACTGAATCTTTATGCATAGGTCTAAATATGAAACAAACGAAGCACTATCACTGTTCTCCTTTATTTCTAGTTCAGGTGAAGTGCAGTTGGTTCCCATGGGGATGCCCACTTGAATTTGAATTTGTGCATTCTACCAATGACAACATCACGCATTGACTTAACCCACACTGAAAGACATTCAACGGGTTCCTCATCTCTTTTTGCCCATATATTTGGCATCTGTTTCGACAGCATCCATAATAGTAGATAATAAGTAAGAAGTATCCATCCTCACCTCCTCATTTGATGACGTCACAAGTGCACCTAGTAACCTCACGTGACTGATGACGTCACATAGCCTTGACCTTGAGGGTAGGGGGATGTTGTCAACGTCATTGCCTCATTAATATGCAGAATAACTCATTAATATGCAAATGTATGCATGCATCACAGGTCAATTAGGTTAATAAAGGGTCAACTGACCAGATGCAATCATGCAATTAATGACTTGACCATTCGTTAACCGTAGAACACGGGAAAGTAATGAATGTCCCTATATGGACATGTTACTACGACCGGGGTTGGGTTGGGTCTTGACTCATGCAGAATGGAATGTCATTGTGAGTACATTTTGGCGCGAGAACATGTGGTGAACATTTGAACCTTTTGCATTGAAGACATTTCTCTGTGCACATTCAGTGGCGGGCTATGTGTGGTAATATTTAAAAGCCCAGGAACAGGTTCACGTAGAAAGATCTCTCGATATTCAATTACGGTAATAAAGGGTCAACTGACCGTATGCAATCATGCAATTAATTACTTGACCATTCGTTAAACGTGTCTAAAAACAAGATGGCGGACGTTGCCATGAACGCTCACGGGTGTCACGTGTCCTCGGTTTGAATCTCGCGCCTGACCTACAAGTCAGTTCTATGGGGCCCCCGTTCCACAAAGCGATATGAGACTAAGTTGATCCGTAAGTGCAATAACTCATTCATAGTCAAATATTATCATGACGTCACAGGTCAGAAAGGATAATGAGAGGTCTGTTGTTCCAATGCGCGAATGCAGTGTGTTAATGAGTCCTTTCATTAAGTGAGAACAAAGCGTAGTAATGAGTGTCCCTATATGGAAGTGGCTACTACAAGATTCAAATGTGATTCACGGGGAAAGATGTAATTGTTAGACATATTCCATTGATGCATGAATTTTGCGTAGTAATGACTGTCACATGTGGCAAAGAGGGGTGTGAGTTGAATTTCCATAGAAACCACATGTCCAGTTCTTAACTCTTCTAGTGTTACCTATTATAAGTTCCTTTTAACAAACAGTTGCCATGACAACTAAATAAAAAAATAAGGCTTAACAGTCTTGTCGCCAAGAGGTCAGCTCGGAGAAATATAGAGTCGGTATGGCAAAACCCGTGTGTTGAAGACTGTAATGGATGCCAGTCTGGTATAAGACGTTTTAATATTGTAAAATTCTATTCTTTTTTTAAAAGATGTTTGAGTTCAAAATGTCAGTTCAGTTTCCTATTTCAATGGAAAAATACTCGTTTAACCCATACCCAGAATCATTTTCATGAGAAACAATAGAGTGAAATAACATAGTTTAGTAGATAACTTTTAAGAGATAAGATAACTTATTAATATGTAAATGTGTAAGTGATGTATCAGGTTAATTAGATGAATTCAGGGTCAACTGACCAAATGCAATCATGCAACTAATTACTTGAGCATTCATTAACAAAGAACAATGGATAGTAAACAATATCCTTATATGGAAACTAAGGTCAGCAATCCCTCATTAATATGCAAGATAACTCATTAATATGTAAATGTATAAGTGATGTATCAGGTTAATTAGATGAATACAGGGTCAACTGACCAGATGTAACCATGCAACTAATTACTTGACCATTCATTAACAAAGAACAATGGATAGTAATGAATATCCTTATATGGAAACTTGACATCGCGAGCGAAATGGAATGTTATTGCGACTGCATTTTGCCGCCTTTTCTCCATGCGCATTCAGGGGCTGCGTTTGCTGAGATTATCAGCCCAGGAATAAGTGTGTGATCTATGTCAATATGTGTTATAAAACTCAACGGCAGTGTTGAGTGACTGACATTTTCACTCTAACCTTGCTGACAGATAAGACGTCCGTTTTCAACATGAAGAGAGTTTCAGGGGATATATTTGGACCTACAGTCATTTTCACAAAGCGTAGCAAGACCAAGTCGAGAAAAACATGTCGGAGAAAATCAATGTGATCAAAGGGGTTGCCGAGGAGACTGGTTGCATCTTAGAAGAAAAAGATGACAACCAAGAAAGGGAAAATGACTATACTGAAAATACAACCCGTGTCGAAAGTAAAGGCTGTTGTGAAACGAATCCGACCTGCCTTGAAGCGTCGCATGGCTGAAGGAAATAAAAAAATGCTTCAGACCCTCTCATCGCTCACTTATCGTATTTGATCACTATGGAGGTTACCACCTGTCCAGACTGTGGCAAGAGTTTTACGTGAAAAGATAATCTACAGAGACATCAGAAGCAGGTGCACAGGTCAACTCAAGACACGCCTTCTCTTCTTCCTCCTCTGGATAAACACCTTACTCCTCCTCCTGCTCTCGATAAACACCCTCCTCCTCCTCCTCTGGATAAATACTCTCCTCCTCCTCTGGATAAACACCCTCCTCCTCCTCTGGATAAACACCCTCCTCTTCCTCCTCCTCCTCCTCCTCCCCTTGATAAACACCCTCCTCCTCCTCCTCTTCCTCCTCCTCTGGATAAACACCCTCCTCTTCCTCCTCCTCTGGAAAAACACCCCCCTCTTCCTCCTCCTCCTCCTCTGGATAAACACCCTCCTCCTCCTCTGGATAAACACCCTCCTCTTCCTCCTCCTCCTCCTCCTCCCCTTGATAAACACCCTCCTCCTCCTCCTCCTCCTCCTCTTCCTCCTCCTCTGGATAAACACCCTCCTCTTCCTCCTCCTCTGGATAAACACCCCCTCTTCCTCCTCCTCCTCCTCTGGATAAACACCCTCCTCCTCCTCTGGATAAACACCCTCCTCCTCCTCCTCTTCTGGATAAACACCCTCCTCCTCCTCCTCTTCCTCCTCTGGATAAACACCCTCCTCCTCCTCCTCTGGATAAACACCCTCCTCCTCCTCCTCCACTGGATAAACGCCTTTCTCCTCCTCCTCTGGATAAACACCCTCCTCCTCCTCCTCCTCTGGATAAACACCATCCTCCTCCTCTGGATAAACACCCACTTCTTCCTCTTCCTCCTCCTCTGGATAAACACCCTCCTCTTCCTCTGGATAAACACCCTCCTCCTCCTCCTCCTCTTGATAAACACCCTCCTCTTCCTCTGGATAAACACCCTTCTCCTCCTCCTCCTCCTCTGGATAAACACCCTCCTCCTCCTCTGGATAAACACCCTCCACCAAAACCAACACCTCCTCTTCCTCCTCCTCAGGAAACCTGTGTCGAAAATAAAAGCTGCTGTGAAACGAACCCAAGCTGTCTTTAAGCATCGCATGGGTTAAGGGTATTAAAGAATGGTTCAGACCCTCTAATCGCGCACTTGTATTTGATCACTATGGAGGTTACCACCTGTCCAGACTGTGGCAAGAGTTTTACGTGAAAAGATAATCTACAGAGACATCAGAAGCAGGTGCACAGGTCAACTCAAGACTCGCCTTCTCTTCTTCCTCCTCTGGATAAACACCTTACTCCTCCTCCTCCTCCTCCTCCTCCTCCCGATAAACACCCTCCTCCTCCTCATCAGAAAATATCTCCACGTTTGCTTTCATCTCGGGAGCACCAGCGACACGGACGATTTAAGTTCCTTATACCCTCCAATAGCATTGTTGTTGGACCCAGTGGATGTGGAAAGTCAGTGTTTGTCTTCAACCTATTACGTCATGGATTAGTTCAACCCCTGCCGGACTGTATTGTCTGGTGTTATACTGTGTGGCAACTTCTTTACGATAGCATTCTTCAAATTTTACCCAAAGTACGGTTCGTTAAAGGAATACCTTACAATTTCGAAGATGAAAACTTCTTCGATGCCCGTAACGAGAACATGATGGTGTTGGATGACTTTTTGTCTGAAGCAAAGAATGACAATCGGATTTCCCGACTGTTTACCCAAACCTCCCACCACAAAAATATCATTATCTTTTTGCTATTGCAAAACCTCTTCCCGAGAGGTAAGGAATCTAGGGACATTGCTCTAAATTCTCATTATGTTACACTTTTCAATTCGCCAGTGGACAGACAGCAGGTGAAGTTATTCGGCAGAAGAATATTTCCTGAAGACATTAGTAAATTTATGACTCTTTATGAAAGGGCTGTTGAAACCCCTTATGGACACCTCACAGTGGATCTCAAACCCGGTACAAGTGAGAAGAATAGATTACATGTCAACGTCTTGACAACCAACGACAATCAACCTGATCACAGTGCTTCACAACAACAACAACAACAACAACAACAACGGG